GGAGCATGCAGCACTACCAGCTTCGTCGTCCACGAGGTCACAACTCCCATGGAAATTGGTTGCAGCTCCCGCCATCCTCGGCTACAGCTCGCTGACAGAGAGGTTGTAGCTTGCCGTCCATGGTCCCAGCAAATCAGCCTGTCGGTCCCAACAAATTGGTCGGTCAGCTCCAACACTTGGTGGACGTGGATGCAACATTCGGGGAGTCGTCGTGGCACCATCCCCGACACAATTGAGTGACGGGGAAGTTACCTTTGCAGCTTCTGCGTTGGTTGGTTCCAGCATGATTGGGTGTCGGTTCCAGCATCACCATGTCCCCATGCGTATAGCGCGACGTCACCCAGCACTCACAACAACTCGACTCATCCATACTAACGCCTCGTCACGCCGCTCATAGCAATGCCAGGAGCCGGTTGTAGCACAAACGCTCACACCAGTTGTCCTAGCACCAAAGTCGTCGCAAGGCTTTCCAGCATCCATGGCACCGATGACCATGTGTCGTAGCAAAAATGAAAGCCGATTATAGAAAAACTAGATGCCAGTCGTAGCAGTGTAGGGCATTGGTTGTATCATTGTCGGCCGGTGGTCGTGGCAGTGGTCCATGCTCCACCCTGTGGCACGGGGTCCCACGAGCACCACACACTGCAATGCGCCTTGCACCACTATACTGCAGCCCATGCAACAACCCTCATTGTAGCCCCATGCAGCTCAGGGGGTAGGGTAGAGTTGTGGAGCGAAGAGGAAAATGAGCGAGCTCGGGCGGGAGCTCCCGTGGAAGACAATGAGAGAAAGAAAAAGAAGAAAAGAGAGATGTGGGGGAAGAGATAAGGATGGGGAGGGACAAGATGGTACGTGGACCCCACACCAAGCATGTGGCGAGGGAGTGTCAAATGATTGCTTGATCTTGCCTCTGTCCTACTGCACACGTGTTACCGCCGTCCAGCAGAGACTTCGGCTGGTCGATTGGATCCTCCGAATCATTTCACATAGCACAATGGCGGAACCTCTCAACTAATTGTGCAGGCTCATTTGGGACGCCATTGTGCTACATATTACAAAGGATAAATAATTGGCCGAGAAAAAAGTTAGGGTAACTACACTTATGAAAAAGAAGTTAGGGTAACTCCAACGGGGCAATCCAAAACCGATGCAAAATGTGTCTATTTTTTGTCCATTTGGATGGCCAGGAGGGCAGGCGTCCACCCGTTGTCCGTTCTTCCATGGCCATGGCACCCAACGGGGCGACCCCATTGGTCCACCCTGTCCGTTTTTAATCAATTTTTTATTTTGACCATTTTATACATTTTTACAACCAAATAAACAAATAGATTAAACATTGCACACAAATAAACAAATAAATCACATAGTTTACAACCAAATAAATAAAAATCACATAGTTTACAATCAAATCAATAAAACTCACAAAGTTTATAACCAAATGAAGTTAAAATTGCAGCAAATAAATTGGAAGAAATGAGAATGCTTTCCTATGTGAGTCCATATATGCTCAACCAAATCATTTCAAAATTGAATGTAAGTTATACGATCACGCATTTGATGATGAAATTGGATGAACTATGCAAACGTTGCCGCTCCACTCTCGGGCTCAACCAAATCACCCTGGTAATCCCATCCTTGGTCATAGATGTTGTCATCACGCTTATCCTCTACGATCATGTTCTGCATGATCATGAGCAGTCATCACCTTGGATATAGTTTCTTCATGTTCGAGTAGGGTGTCGAACAATAGCCCAACGAGATTGGAGCACACCAAAAGCATGCTCCAGATCCTGCCTAGCACTCTTATTCCTTGGCGAACCTAGTCCTCTTCTCTCCTTGGGCTCAAAGATTGTCTTTAAAAATGTAGACCACAAAGGATAGATACCATCAACGATGTAGTATCTCTTGTTGTATTGGTGGCCACCGACCTCATAGTTAACATCTGGGGAACTGCCTTCCGAAAGCCTTGAGAACACCGTAGAGCATTGAGGCACGTTGATGACGTTGTGAGAACTCGCCATGCCGAAAAAAGAGTGCCAAATCAAGAGATTTTATAATGCCACAACTTCAAGTATGCATGTGCAATCATCAACATGTCTGCCCCTGTCAAGTTAATGGACAGTTCTTTCACTCACAGTGCATACAATCTATGCTTTCAAGCATCCCTTGAAAGCCCCTTGAAACAATGATCGATAACACCCCGGTTGTATCCCCAGCATTTGGTTATCTCAAGTAGTCCGGGCCAAACATCTTAACCACAACTTTGCAGAACTTGGACAATGACTCAGGGCATGTGGACTCACTCATGCGTACGTACTCATCAACTAGATCACATGGAACTCTGTATTCAAGCATCTGAAATAGCTGTAATACATTTCTGATAAGAGGAGTAGTCAACCTTACAAAGGGCATCTTACTTGCATTTGAATTAATCATCATAACCAACTGCCCCCTCCAGAATATACGGTTGAACAATGGTCTTGCCATCCTAAGAGTCACTGGAAAATCTTGGCAGGGAATAAGGGCTTTGTGCAATGGAAATAGTCGTTAAAGAGTAGGATATGTGTCCCTATTCTTGTTACGATTCAACGCAGGTGCATGGCCCTCTATCAATCCCCTGAACAACGGTCGCTGCCTCGAAATGTGTTCATTGATAAGAAGTGTAGCAACCACGATGTCACTATCATCCACGGATGATTCTTCGGACGATGATGAACAAATGATGTTATTGTAAAAAAGACTCATCTGCGTTATCCGTGATGGTCCTTCGGAGTACTGAATCCATATCTCACAAACCGGCCAGGCAAACGGCCGAACACCTAGTGGGCAGCAACACCTAGGGTGGATGTCTCTGCCGATGAAGACACCTATGCTAGCTGGTTCGAAGAGTAGGGCTATCTAACTCCATGTCCTCATGCGGTGGCACTAGTTGTGGCGGTGGTGTGCCGAGGGCGGCGACAACCATGGTAAGGTGCGGGCCACAAGCTAGGCCGTCGGTGGCTTGAGATGGAAACAACGCCGATGTTCGGGGCGGCTGGGTGGAGGCGTCGGGGTGGCGAAGCGGACGAAGTAGTGGTTGCGGCGGCGAGGGCGAAGAG